GATGAAGACACACCGTAATATTTTATTTGACAGAAATTGCCCTGTACCAGAAGCGATGTGTGACACAGTGTGTTGTCATGATGGAAGATGATTTTATGGCACACTTGAAAACATACCTTCTCTTAACCATAGCTCACACCTGACTGACTGCACCAAACAAACTGAAACTTGTCACACACTGTCCCTAAGGTTCAATGTGCTGCTTTTCATATTGAAGATCCCTGCCTTTCTGTTGGATGGCACTCACCAGCACCATTCACCATATTTCTCAATCACAACGGAAAGGCTCTATGTTGCCATTAGCTTCCAGGCGGTTCTGATTACGGCGAACTACTGCTTGAGCAACACTGACCAAAGTGCCCATTTGTGTACATTTTGTTGGCACCCCTGGTATATATATATAATCTTTTAGTCAGAGTATTGATTATTCATTTGGTGCAAATTATGACATTTGTAATCCATGTGACACTAATGGTTGCACAGAGGACTATCTACACTCTTGCTTCTCAGGGTATGGTCCACAGGCTAACAGCATCAAAATTACCTTGGCGCTATTAGAAATGTGGAATCTCAGCCTCCAGCCCCACATCTACTGAATCAGCATTGTCATTTTAATAAGATCCCTAGGTGGTTAAAGCATTAACTAAGTCAGGAGTTCTCAACTCTGGCTACACATCAGAATCACTTAGGGCGGTTTTAAAGTGTTTGATGCTCAGACCTTACCCCAGACCAATTAAATCAGACTCTTTAAGGACCCAAGCCATGGGTATCTTACATGTTTACCATGATTCTAATGTGCTACCAGGTGTGAGGACTATGGGCTACATGACGCCCAAACAATAAATAAATCCAGTGAATTCTGAAAGCATAAAAAACAAAAAGGAAGTCAAACCAATTACTTTGTATTTGGTACTATTCTACAAATGCTTGATTGCTTTTTTAACTGTTAATAAGTTTGCTTAGCTACTGTGTGAACTAGCCTATTGCGTCTCAATCTGCCCATTGTATTTTATATCAAGAAGAGGAACACTTTGCTATTCAAATTGATTAAAATGAGATTTTAGGTTTGTTTTTCAACTTTACTTCCTTTGCCAAACTTATTTTCCATGCTGACAGTTCTAACCGCTAAATGCCAGACACTGCACGTTCAAACCAGTGCACCTTTGGGTACCCTCAGTCCCTTCTCCATGTGCTCAGTTCTGTTTTTACCTCAAACATTCCCTTATCACACTCATCCAGCCCAGATGGATTTTCTCATCTCTGAATTCCTGTGTCGCTGTTGTTTCTGTCATGCACTCTCACTTTATGGTCTTCTTGTTAGCTCCACTATTTAGTGAAATTAAATTATCTTTAATATATTTTTTAAAATTTCTACATGTAATCTCAGGCATTAGTAATGTATTCCAAAATCTTATGCAGGAATAGGAGAGGAAAACATAAATCATAACATAGTACATGTGGTAGTCATTATGTAGATGAGAAAACTGAGTCACAGAAAGGCAAGGTGACAGGCGAGTGAGATTCAACACTTAGATATTTTCCCAATATTATCCGACACAAAGTACAAGAGGAGGTTTGGGAAGTTTGGTTTGCTTTAATTTTTACATGTGTGTTTCCAACAAAGTAATTATAGTTCTGGGGCAGGTTAAGAATATGAATAAAGTATAACGTACTGAAAGATGACTCATTCTTAAAGTCAGTGTCTACTCTTACGATTTTTCTTTTTCACACTTAATTGGTTTCTTTTGTCAGAAAATTTTTGAAGTTTTAGGGGTAGGGGCAAAGGAAGATCATCATAATGTATTCTTTCTATAAAGTTACTTTTTAATTACACAAGTAATACCTGAATAGCATTTTCTTGTAAAAAATTATAACATTATAGGTATCATAAAATCTCATGTCCAACACCCCCCACTCATGTCCTGCATTTTACCCAGTCTATATATCTTTACTCCCTCCTCAGAATTAATTATTTATATTTGTACACATTCTTTAAGACATTTTAATGTGTTTAAATATGTATGCATGGCATATGAGGCCAGACAAGCTCGCAAACTCATCCTAGAAAAAGTGCTACATACCTCATTGCTGAATATCACTATGGTCACCTTCAAAGTACTCCCCTTGGGAAGCCATGCACCGATGCCAGTGCCTAGTCCACCCTTCAAAGCAATTTTGGAACTCTTTTTCTGGAATAGCCATCAGAGCTATCATTGTATTACCCTTGATGTCCTGAATGTCATCAAAATGTCTTCTTTTCAATATTTCCTTTATCTTCAGGTAAAGAACAGAATCTTTGGGGGCCAGATCAGGTGAGTAGGGAGGATGTTCCAATACAGTTATTTGTTTACTAGCCTAAAACTTCACAGACAGTGCTGTGTGAGCCGGTACATTGTTGTGATACAAGAGCCATGAATTGGAGAAAAGTTCAAGTCATCTAACTTTTTCATGCAGCCTTTTCAGCACTTCCAAATAGTAAACTTGATTAAGTACTTGTCCAGTTGGTGCAAATTCATAATGAATAATCATTTCTGATATCAGGAAAGGTTAGCAACAACTATGCAACGAGTTCGTGAACTTAATTGTCACACTTCAATATTATTATAATAATTTTTGATGATGGCAATTTTTGGTGTTTTATCATCTAAAACATAGTACGCTTGGGAATTTTATTTGTATGTCTAAAACATGAAAGACCTGGGAAGGATATGTGATTCAGGGGTTGACAGAATTAAGTTTCAAAATTATATCTCATCCCTGTGGAATAATACTTTAAAGCTAGAAAGATAAAAACTTAGCTAACATAAATATTAAAGCCCTGCATAAAGTGCAAGTAACAAGTGGAGAATTCTTATTTGACATTAGTTTATATGAAAAAGACTTAGAGGTTTGTTTATCACAGACTCAAAATTTAATAAAAATTCTAATGCTAGGAAAAGTCAGTAGTTCTTATCTCTAAAATAAAATTCCTTTAAAAATATCTGAAACTACTCCAGAATATATAATTTTAGAAAGAAAATACTAGGTTGGATAAACTGTGTATATCCAGTTTGATATACAAAATAGTGGACTAGTAATTTTAAAATGTGGGATTTATTTTGTGACAATGTATTTTTCATATGTATATATTTTCTTTTTTATACAAGAAACACTGCCAAATGAAAGAACTTTTTTTTTTTGCTTTCTTCAGGTTAACTCCTCTAGTTTTATTATAGTACAAAACATTTATTAGAAATCAGATGATTTTAGCATGAAAAAGTCCTAAATGAGGCATTGCAATAGTATTCCTTCTCAATATGGATATCTTCTCAAGTAAGGATTTTGCTCTGTGGAATTAATCTCGCTCAATGTAAAGCTAATTGTCTATTATGAAAACATATTTTAATGATAAATATTCACACTCAATATTCTTTGCCATAATGTCTAGAATTGGGGCATGGGAAATCAAGTGCATTCTGTGCTAAAACATGTTTTCTCATGCTAATATCAACCCCACTAGCTGATTTTTACTTTGACATGTGCCAAAAGACATAGATTTTGAGTAAAAATATTCTCCTACCAAGAAAATTTAGAGACTCTTAATCCACTGATTACCTGAAAAGCTATCCCAACGTTTGTGGATATTCTTCTTTTAGTGATTTCAGATACATAGGTATTGATTATGTAGGGCACAAGTTATTATAGATTCTGAGAGATAAATTGATTTGCCTTTCTTAAAGGAAAGTGAATATTATATTAATTTATTATGACCTTGACTGATTGTAAGACAAATGAGGCCTGCCAATTAAATTTGCGAACTTGTTGCAATGATGTTGCTAACGTTTTTTGGATATCAGAACGATTATTCATTATGAATTTCTACCAACTTTATGAGCAGTTAACCAAGTTTACTGTTTGGAAGTGCTGAAAAACCTATGTGAATGAAGTTAGACAACCTGAATTTTTTGCCAGCAATTGCCCTTGTATCACAACAATGCACCACCAGCTCACACGGCACTGTCTGTGAGGGAGTTTTTAGCCTGTAAACAAATAACTGTATTGGAACACCTTCCCTACTCACCTGACCTGGCCCCCAATGACTTCTTTCTTTACCTGCAGATAAAGGAAATATTGAAAGGAAGACATTTGATGACATTTAGGACATCAAGGGTAACACTGCGAGAGCTCTGATGGCCATTCCAGAAAAAAAAGTTCCGAAATTGCTTTGCAGAGTAGACTAGATGCTGGCACTGATGCATAGCTTTCCAAGGGGAGCACTTCGAAGGTGACCATAGTGATATTCAGCAGTGAGGTATGTAGCACTTTTTCTACTATGAGTTTGCGAACTTAATTGTCTGACCTGATAGGTGACCAGGAGTATTGACCTCTTTTTAAATGTGGAACTCTGACTGAAAAGGGAGAAGCTGAATCAATGAAGAGAATGTACTGATGTACTTTCAAGAACTCCAAGCCATGGATTTATTTTAATTTATCTCTTCCCTGTCCACCATAGCACATGAGAAGTAGAACAAGGGCTTAACTCTATTACTAGCTTTTTCAGCAGTATCAGAAAAACAATAGGTGTTCTTCTATTAGTGTATGCTGCTTCAGATAGAGAAGCTCATTGTAATGCTTCTCTGCAGTTTTCCTGCCCCAAGGAAATACCTGTATCTCAGATCAGTCTAATTAACCAGTATGTGAAAATAGAAAATTGTGAGGCAGTCCTTATGTTCATCGTTGCTTGGCTTTAAAAAGCTCAATAAAGTTTCTACCTACATATCCTTGTTTACACTGTGGAGCAAAATGGATCAAACAAGCACAGATTTGTGATCACAGAGTCTGTGCCTTTTTACAATATAACACATATCGTGAATCAAAGAAATATTGTGCCACTGCTCCGAAGCTGACATTGGAATGACATTGTAATCCTGGCCATCTGTCTTCCTCCTCTAGATGTCGATGAATGTGTGCTGGTGAATGGAGGCTGCCAGCAGCGCTGTATTAACACTCTGGGCACCTTCCACTGTGAATGTTATACAGGATACAGACTTCATGCTGATGAACGCACCTGCCTAAGTGAGTAAATATTAGAACCAGCTTGAAGCCATTTTCAGTGAAAATCAACCTGCCCATGCAGGGGCAGGAAGGAAAGGTTTCTGTATTGTAAAAATATCTATAGAAGCTGACAGTTTTCAAGTACAATTCTATCTCTTAGAATAAAAATAGGGTTTTTTTGACATGAAAATACTAAGACAAAAGGATGGGGAAGGAAGTATACAAAATTAACATCCACAAGCAAAATTTGAATCCCCAAATGGGTGAACATTTCCATAGCATATCATTCTGCCATATGTGGTAAAGTACAGATTTGTTAGCTATTGTTTATACACAACAAGGACAGCACAGGGCCCCAATGAAGGGAGGAGGATTCTGCGCTGTTCCAATCAGTAGCTACAATGTTCACTCATTTTAGACTGGATTTGGAGCTGGCCTCATGATTTTAAAAGCACAAATTATAACCGCTTATATGCCAAGTAGTTCAGAATTGCTCAAGAATAGTTAAAACTACATACATTAAATATAAGGTTACTATGTATTATTTGTACAACAAAATGTTCTTGGATATATTTTGTGTATTAGTATTATTGTTTTAAGTCTTCTTTGTATGTTTCTGAATTTTATAAATTGCTTAAAATGAGTATGTGTTTTTATACACAGAAGAAAAAAACCCAACAGAGTAAATTTTTAAGATACTATGCTCCCTGTATGATTTATAAATGCTCTTTTTTTTTTAGCTGAAGCAATTTACATAAAAGTATTTTTTTGTTGTTGAATAATGATCCTCAGATGGCATCGACAAACACTAATTTCATCACCAGGTCCCTTCAAAAAAACCCACTTATTATATTAAAAGAATAGCATCTTGTACAGCACAATTTAATCACTGGTTTAATTTATTTAGGGCTTGTTAAGTAGTCCATCTACTCAAATTATTGGTATTTTATAAGCTTACTGTAATTATAAAACTTGGAATAGAAATCAGCAAATTTCACCTAGTTTCATAACATATAGTCCCTTTTTTTTTTCTAAATATGTCTTCCAGGAAATGAAAGCAGGCCAAAGGAAACAGCTAAAGATGTCCTAGTCAGAGGTCTGATTTTGATAACAGAAAGCGGAGGTTCTGAGAGGGAATTAAAAAAAAAAAAGGACTTTTCCAAAGTCAAGTGAAATACTGATATAAGTCACTCCCTAACATCCAGGGAACTCGGCATCATATTGATTGTATCTAGAGCAGGCACAGGTGTTGGGACATGCATAGTTATGTCATCAAAATATCCTTTTCTTTCTGCAGGATTTGGTCTTAGCAATAGGAATCCCTTTCCCATCCCCACCCCCAACCTATAAGGTCTTCAGCTGATAACATCCTTAAACTCCCACTATCACTTATCTCAGTTACAAATATTTAGGAGCAGCTGGATTATCGTTACATACAATTGTGATATTTTTCGGTAAAGGTGGAGCTGGTGAATTTTTGTGTCTGATATAAAAAAATATTTTGCAAAGTAGTGATGTATATAAATCTGAGATATCTAGTCTTTGTGATAAGGCAAAATAAATACACTAGTAGCCAACAAAATTAAATTTACAGGTACAATTAATTTTCTAAACCCTAGTAGTTATTCGCTATTTCTTAGTAAAATCATTAAGCTCTTTCCTCATTCCTCACCACTACTGCCCTTGAATTTTCCAAGTTTTGTTTTAATGAGATCAGATCAAAATGGAGTTGGATAAGGATATTATGGTTTACTTTTTCTATTTCTATTCCTTAAAGCTCAATTCCTATTGTACAAATACATTGATAATACGGTAATTTATTTACAGCTCTATATGGTGATCTTCTCCTTGTGCAGAATTTTGACATAGTGTACAAATTATATATATAGTTTGGTTTCAAAGAATGGTCTTAAGAATCTCAGTTGACACAATTATAGCAGTCTTGTTAACAATGAGCTGAAGAAGAATTTAAGCACTTAATATTTAAAGATTAATAACCTGAGCCTAAGGACAAGAACTTTTTGTTTGCTTATTTGTTTTGAAGGAACGTGTTTACTTAGAAAACTGAGTTTCACATTGGTCTGTATTTTGAGTTATATTGTAGGAAACTCAGATATTTTTAAGAACAGGAAAATTAAATTAGATCACTTTCCCTTTGGGATTTTTTTTACATGGCAGGAGGCTGAGAATTGTAGTAGACAGAAATTCATCATGTCCCATGGTAGAGTCAGAGAAGAGAAGATGAAGTTATGGAATTTTACTATTCCACTAGTTTGGAGTACTTGAAATTAATTGCCACCATTTCTTCCTTCCTCCCTCCCTTCTTTTCCTTCCTTTGCCCCATTCTGCCCCTCAGTCATAAGCCTACGCTAGTGTGACTTTTTGAATTAGAGCCTCCAGTGCTTTTTATACTTTCTTTTAGTCACAGTCACATGAAAGTAAACTCTGTGCACCCCAAACACTTACAGAGTTACAGATTATTTCACTTTAAAACCAGGTTCGCTCTCTAAGGGCTGTGCATTTGTGGTGACATATGCCCAGCAGTTACTAGTCAGCCTCTGCTATAATGATGGTCATACAAAGTGGTGTAAGGGAAATGACCCGTAATAGCTGTGTGCAGAGGCTGAAAATGTGACAGTTCCTGGCCCACTGTCACCTCCCCTGAAAGTCAGCATCAGGAAAGCCAGTCCCACCTGGGAGAAGGATCACAGCAAGTGAAACCCGCTGCACCTGGTTGGTGACAGGGCACAGACACAGCATGGGAAAGCAGACAAATGTGAAATTCCTGCCAGATTTGCTTTGCTATTGGTGGTCTCCATTAACACGGATATCACCTCACAATTCATATACTTACAAATTTCGCTTTATTTGGAAACCAATAGCTTAAAGTGGAAACTAGATTTAGCAATCACTGGGAAGACAGCGATATTTCTGTTCTTATTAGTCCACCATTAAAATTTGTGCATGTGGAGTAGGACAGTGGCACAGCGGGACCCAAGTTGATGTGTGGCCTTCAGCTCAGGTTCTTAAAGCACTTAACCTCTCTACATCTTGGTTTCCTCATGTGTAAAATGTAGACATTGGGCAAAGTGACTTTACAGTTACTACGTCTCTGAAGTGTAATAATTTAATGGAGTTTCCATAACTACTGATTCTTTATAAATTATGTGCTAACCTGCATTTTTTATGGCTTCATTAGATTATGTGTAGTGATTATTTTAAAAGTATTTAGAGAACTTAGACTTTAGAAAGCCCAAGCATAAAAACAAGAGTGTGAGAATTTTATATCCAGTTTAATAAAAATGAATGTGGAACTTAAATGTTTTTATTGAAAAAATAATACTTTGATGCTTTTGTAAAAATATTGTTTTCCATATTGTAGGATCATATCTGGGAGAAATTCAAGGAATAATCTAGCCCAATCTCCTACCTTAGAGATAAGAAGTCTGAGAGCTCAAAAGATCAAGTAACTTTTATCCTGAAAAAGGAAAAAGCAGTTTTCAGGGAAACCTGGCTGATTTCACTCCTAATCAAATGTTTTAAAATAATTTCTAATAAATATAAAAATAGACTAAGAAAAGTCATAAAGGTACTATGAAATGAAATTCTTATGTTCTATTTTGATAATTAGAGCTGAGGGTTAAAACAGTGTATTTTCATAATAGCTATTGATAAAAATAAACTACCTTATATCACCAGCCTGTAAGTGCAAATTTACCACTTCTCTCCTACATTTCTATGATATGCTCCAACAAGCCTGGCTACTCTCAATTCTCCAAGTAAGCCATGCCCTTTCCACTTCCGCATCTTACTTCATTCTTATGGTAAACTCTCACCTCAAGTCTTCGCCTGTCAAAACTCTGCTTACCATGTTCCATATTAAATGTCTTGGCCCATTAAGCCTTCTCTGGTTACTCTAGCCAAATCCTTTCTCTCTTCCTCTCTCTTTCTCACCATAATTTTATGTTGTATTAATGACACATTATAACATATAGTTTTATATAAGTATAGTTGCACTTCAGACCAACTGAAAGATACTGATGGCCCCCTAATTATCAGCTCCTCCATACCTTCCTTGATGGCCTCTAACACTGGTAACCACTTATTTTTCTAAATCTTCCCCTTGACTTCTTGACAGCACAACTTCCACCTTTAACTGCTGCCTCTCTGTTCTTATATCTGGTTACCAGGGTCCTGAATTTGGATATTTTTTTTCTTTTCTATGTGTCCCCACAAATCCACATGTTGAAGCCCTAAGTCCCAATGTGATAGTATTTGGAGATGGGGCCTTTAAGAGATAATTAGGTTTGAGAGAGCTCCTGAGGCATTATAATGGCATTAGTGCCATATAAGAAGAGACACTAGAGAACCTGTTTTCTCTCTCCACCATATGAGGAGGAAGTGAGACGGGGGCCATCTGAGGCCAGGAAGAGAGCTCTCACCAGAAACCAAACTCTGCTGAACCTTGATCCTGAACTTTCTAGCCTCCAGAACTGTGAGAAAATAAAATTCTGTTGACTAAGCCACCCGTCTATGGTATTATGTTATGGCAGCCTGAGTAGACTGGCCTGCTCTCCTTTATTCACCCTGTCTCTAGTCTACCTCCATTTTGTTTTCCTCCTTTTAGAAATAAGTCAACATATGTAAAATATCTGGCAAGTGTTAATTAAATGTTAGCTATTATTATAACAGAATATAAAAAGATATAAGGATTTTACCCAGATGGGTTTGCTTGTTGGAGTAAAATTCAAACTTGTTATAGTGTATTTAGCTCTAAGGCTTGGCCAGCATTATCTATTATAGAACATGTTATCCTTTGATAGCCTTTAATTGGTGATTTTCTCATTGTTACAAAGCAGACTTTAGTAGGCATTACTAAAAATAATGATAATGTAAACTAAACTCTTTCTATGTGGATAATTTTTAACAGCCAGGGGCTAGATACCAAAATAATTTATATTACCCCATTTTTTTTTCTGTATTTAGCTGTGTAATTTGCATTTGAACTACTTTGTAAGGTT